GGGGGGGGGGGGGGGAGTGTAAAAGGGCTGTAGGTGTGATAGTATAAAGCAAATTTGGGAAAGATAGTATAAAGCAAATTGGGGAAGAAGAAAATTTATTACTACTGTTTTGAGAGCTAATCAGCAAATGAGAAGTGGCTTCCTAATTTAAGACGTTTTCGTTTTAATTATTCTAATAATCATCATTTACAGCTTGTTTGGATGGTTGTTATTGTATTGTATCGTATCATATTGTTATTTTAAATATAATATTTGTTTTGATTCTTACTTAAATTTTATTGTATCGTATCGTTAAATTCGTTGTTACGTAAAGACGAAAAGTGTCACTTTATAAAATGGCGAATTTGGTATGGTGGCATAGTTGCCTTGCTTTTTTCTCTCATCTTGCCCTTTCTTATTATTAAATAATTATATTTTATTCTTTATCCTGCTTTTTTATACAATAATTCTACTTTGTATCATATTTTTTTTTGGTAATGTTACAACTTTATTCTTTATATTATTGGTGTGTGACATCATAAAACGACGGTATCAAATTATTTTATCAAAAAGTCATATGGTAAATGTTTGTCTGCACTTTCATACCAAATGTATCAAATTATTTTAATAAAGTGATTTAATATATAAAAATATAAATTAATTAATTAAGTGATAAAAATTTACACACTCAGTAAAGCTACTTCTTTGGCAGAAAAATAAAACCAAAAGACAGAAGAAGCAAACAAACAACTCTCAAAATTCATTCTTATCTAAATTTCTTTCCATAAGTATTTTTTTTTACTCTTCTTATGTAGAATATGCCTCCCAATTCTTTTCATTAATAATTTGTGAATTAATGAAGAAAAAAACAGGGTGAATTTTAGTTGATTAATACTATAACCAATACGAAACGTTTGAGATAGAGATGAAATTGTTGTTTGCTTTGTGGATTGCCTCGAGAATAGGGTATTATTTTGATTTAATTTGTGTACCCTTTTGCGTTGTTAGTACTACAGATATCTCTTTTCAGATTTTTTTCTTTTTCTTTTTGCATGGCGTTTGATCTTTTATTTTACTGGAATGTTTTTGCTTCATTGGATTGAGTTGGTTGATTGTGGTGGGTAGGAGTAGCAAACGGACGGGTCGGGTCAGATATGATTAGGGTCGAAAACGAATAATGAAAAAATGGATAAATTATCCTACCCGACTCATATTAAATACGGATAAAAACGGGTTAACCGGTGGATAATATGGTTCCATAACTTCTTGAATATAATTACTTTTGGTAGAATTCCTAGTCTTCCAAACTTGAGGAACTCGGCTTTACAAATGTAAAAGTTAAACTCATTAGTTATCCATTTTTTAATTGAATAATATGTTTCTTATCTATATCTGGCCCGTTTTTAAAAAGTTTATTATCCACCCGTGGTTAACTGCTTTTTTAACCATTTTGGCACCACTAGTGGTGGGTATGGTTTGTGTTTGTGATTATTGGAAAAGGGTGTCACAGTAAAAGCATAAAGTTGCAGTCCGTGAAGTCAGTGGCGGAGCCAGGATTATCGGGGTTCAAAAAAGGAAAAAGTTATAAAGGTCGTAGCTAGTGGGAATAGAACCACCCTTACAAAAGTTTTGAACCTCTTGACCCCTAAGCTATGCTTTTGGGCTGCGTCAAGGAGATTCAAAACATAATATATAGAGGTCAAAAACAGATTTTACCTTACAGTGTAATTTTTCGGTGAAAGGGTTCAGGTAAACACCCTTTCGGCCCCTAAATCCGCCCATGTGAAGTTATTTTGCTAGTGAAAATTGGTATCGTTAAAGTTCTTGATTAAGTTTTATGACTGCTCTTCTTTTTTTTCTTTTTTTTTGTTTAGGATAATCTTTTAATTTTTGTGTGCTCTTCATTTGGATATGTTACCCTTCAAGAATTTGTATCTGGTTGGTATAGATTGTATTTGCTATAATTGGGAAATGGTGTTAGTTCAAGGCTTTCAAAGTTGCTGGCCTGAAGTTTGTTTGCACTTTGCTCATGAACATTGATATCTTTAAGTATATTGATTAAGCATTATGATTACCATTTTTGTTCATTGGGTTAATCCCTCGTATGTTGTATGGGCCAAAATTTGACCAAGGGGATCTTCCTCAAACGTAGATTATTAAGAGACGATTAGGCCGAGGTCGTACTCGAGATGGAAGGAATCTATTGGCGAGCCGAGTAACCAGGGTCGAGGTCGAATACTCAGGTCGGCCATAACGGCTAGTTTTGTAGCGAGGTTTTTTTGGGGGGAATATTTGTTGAATATTCTCTGCACTTGTACTTTATGTTAGGTAAGGGATATGTCCCCGTATAAGTAGAAAGGTAGAGAGAAGAAAAGGGACATGTAATATTCTATATGATAAGAATTCTCATGAAAAGTTGACTCCCAAGTAAATTACAAACATTGCATTTCCATAAAGATTTGGTTTGTTGTTTATCCCACACTTTCTCGCATCAGATCTGAGAAAGCTCTTTACATTCCTACGTACATTTCTCTTATATCATTGTTGTCAGAGAGAAGAATCATCCACCCCATTCAATATTTGGATGAATCATTTTCTCTATTTACATTTAGTGGCATTTAATGTATTTATTACCTATCATTATCCCATTTCACTCACATCACTGTCATTTAATATTCACCACATTAAATAGATTTTAACGTAACTCCACGTTATTTGCATAAACATATTAGAAATCTAGAATTTAATATGTTTAACTAGGATTTATCCATTATCCTCTTATTTAATTAGTTTAACAAAAGGGTTCATACTTTTTGGTCAAACATATGTCTCTGAGCTTCATTCTGGATATCTTACCTTTTAAGAATTGTTTGATCTAGTGGGTATAGCTTGTGTCTGTAAGTATCAGAATAGAATTTTGCTTGAATGCTTTAGAAAAATGGCTATTCTAAAGTTCTTTGCTCATAATAATTAGTAGCTTTGAGGATCTTGAGTAAGCTTTGTTTGTATCATTTTTGTTTCTTGATTTTAGATCGACTTTATGTAATGTAATCGATTAGTTATTATGTTTCACGCTAGATGCAGGCTTTTTAACTTTGAAGCAAAAACCATATTGTTGTTTCTGGTTTTCTATCACTACTAGAAATCCGGTAAAAAGCGACCACAAAAAGCGACCAAAGTTGGTTGTTTATAGGCCTAAAAGTGACCAAAAAGCGACCAAACATGTCTGGTCGCAATATTGCTGGTCCCTTTTGTCACACCTCCTTTTTCCGTACCCGCGGGGGGCATAGGGAGTTTTTCCAATTAAAGGACAATCGAAACGAGATTGGTTTATTTATTTCAGAGTCGCCACTTGGGAGATTTAGGGTGTCCCAAGTCACCAATTTTAATCCCGAATCGAGGAAAAGAATGACTCCATATTACAGTCTGCGTACCAGAAATCTGGATAAGGAATTCTGTTAACCCGGGAGAAGGTGTTAGGCATTCCCAAGTTCCGTGGTTCTAGCACAGTCGCTCAACTGTCATATTCGGCTTGATTATCTGATTTAATACATGTTGAACCTATGTGCAAAATTTAACTTTTAACCGCTTTTATCATTTACTGTTATTTTTATCAAGAATTGCAACATCGTGGAAACACATCTCGAACCACGTCACATCAATGCACCCGTGGTTGTTGGCATATTTCAACTCTGTTGAGATTTGGATTTGGGTCACATAAATGTGCACCCGAGTTTAAGAAAATTAAATTTATTAGAGGCGCGCCTAAAGCGACTAGCGTATCATTTGCTTTGGGTAGGGCCGTAGAATTTTGCTAAACGGTCCATCCCGAAGTCTAAGCAATTTCAAAGCAAATATTTATTGAGGGCCCCGCAATTTTGTATTTTTATTCGGCGAGGCTCATCTCGTTCTTATTT